TCATCAGCATCAGCGTCTGTTCTCGTACGCTGCTACCACATGTGCTGTTGGGACTGTGTTGCGATGACAGGACGATAGCGTGGATGTGCGCGTCTTGCTTCGTTTCCACGCCACGGCCCACTCACCATCATCACCTTCCCCATCGTCATCTTCATCATCCGTGCTGTCGAATCGGCGGCTGTGTCTCCGCTTCGCTCGATGCTGGAATTCAACATCATGGTCGTGCGCTACATCACTCTCGTCCTCTTCGTCCTCGTCTTCCATTACATCCTCCTCCTCCTCCTCCTCATCCTCCTCCATGTCATCACCCTGTTCCTGTTCCTCCTCCTCATCCGATGACGACGACGATGCAAGCTCCATATCTGCCCACCAGTCGCCCTTACCCCCCGCCTGCGGTGCAATTGGTTTGCGGCGGCGTCGTGCCCCGTCCACGTGTGATGTTGGCGCCACTGCTGTTCGCCGCGCTCTCGCACGCACGCCGCCGGTCACGCGTGCACGTGTGTGCGACGGGAGGCGTGAGCGCGTGCTTGCAGGCAAATCCTTGCGCCGCTCGATGGTGAGGCTGGAGAGGGACGTGATGGAGACAGCTTTTGGTGTCGCCAAATGCGCCCGTGCGTCTTCCTCCTCCTGCGCCAGCTGCTGCTGCCGGCGGGCGATGGCAGCAAAGTGATTCTCCACCACACGGCGCACCTCAGCCTCCACAACCTGACAGGTTGGCCGTGTTGTGTGTGGGTGTGGGGGGGGGGGAGGGAGTGAGTTTTGGCAGAGGGAGTGAAGTGGGGCGAGATGTGGGTGGAAGGACAGGACAGCAGCACAGCAGGGCAACAAGAGGAGCGATGAGGAGACACGTGAGCACACACACACACACACAGACACAGACACACAGACACACAGACACACACAGACACAGACACAGAGACACACACGCACAGACACAGACACACACGCATACGCACGGATTGGGAGAATCTGAGGACAAAGGAGCGCTGGAGGAGGTGTGAGAGGCGCTGCTTGCAGGCTTCCTTCCACGTCATCACGCGCACGTGCTCATGTCCATGTGCGGATTCACGAGCACCGCCAGCGCCACCACTCGCGTGCTGTTCGTCGTCACTGCCACGGCCCTCGCCTTCAACGATGCCGCCGGGACCAAGCTTGTTCCGTAGCAGCGCAGCAAGCGCCTTGGGAACAGCCGTCAGCGTCGTGCCATCATACACACCCGCACCACCACCACCACCAGTGGTTGGTGTCATTGTTGTCATCGGTGTTGTCGCTGCTGTGGTCATTGGTGTCGATGGAGATGGTCTCGTCACCCACGTTGCTGGCGACGTGACAAGTGGCGAGCTGCCGGGTGCGGGCAAGAGGCCCTTACGTGCTGGTGCATGCCGCTGTTGATGCGGTGTTGTTGGTGTCGTTGGTGTTGTTGGTGTTGCGGATGTCGACCCCCACGATGTTGCAGCAGCTGCCCCCCACTGCTGGCCGGGTGCACCTCCGTTTGCTGTTGGTGTTGGCGGTGTCGTCATCGCATGCGCACCCCATGAGCCACCCCGCTGCTGTTGTTGCTGCTGTTGTTGGTGTTGTTGCTTGGAGTGGGGAGTGCCGTTGTGGCTGTCGTGGCTGGCGTTGTCGCTGGTGCTGTTGCTGCGTTGAGGGAGCACACGCGGGCGCGAGAGACGGTAGCCAAGCAGCTGCGAGTGCAGGCAGTGGCGGGCAGCAGCGTCAGCATCGCGCTTGTCACGAAACGACACGCGCCACACGCTGTGACGAGTGTTAAACCTCGCCTGGACAGGGTGGTACTCGGAAAGAAAGTCCAGCCAGTCACTCGGCGCAACGCGTCTTGGAAACGGTCCTGGAATCTGCAGCACCACCAGCGGTTGGTGCGATGTTGGGGTTGACGTCGATGGTGATGAGGAGGCCAGCTGTGGCGGTGGCAGTGGTGGTGTTGCCGCGGCGGCAGATTGCAACGGCGACGCAATGTGGTCGCCACGGTCACCATAGCGCCCGTGCGGCTGCGGCGTGTAAGGAGAGCGGCTAGTACCTGAAATGGGGCTGCGCATGTGTCCGTGCACATCGCCACCCGCTCTGCCACCGCTGTTCCAACTGGATGATGGGGAGTTCCACCCCCCAACACGGCTGCCACCGCGACTGCCACTGCGACCCCCTCGCCTGCTACCGCCACCGCGGTGGTTGCGGCGGTGGGAGTGGGTGTGGTCCCTCCGGCTGGCGTGGTCACCATAGCCGTGATCACGGGTGTCATCGTGCTGGTGTCTGCTCTCCCCGTCAAAGCTGCCGCTGCTGTATCGCCTGCTCTCATCGCGATTGTGTCCATGTGCGTGTGAATGTCCATGTGCGTGTGTGCGTGTGCGTGTGCGGCTTGGCGAGCGCGACCAGCGGCCACTTCTCTCCCCCGAGCGGCGCCGATGCGACGAGGGCTCGCGCTCACGGTCATCACGGTGGTGGTGGTGGTCACTGTCGCTGTGGTGGCGGTCACGGCCACGTGTGCGCTCATCATCGTGATGGCGGCGGTGGTGGTGATGGTGCGGTGTTGTGTGGGTGCTGCTGTTGTTCTGCTGCATTGGCAAGTGGTCGGCACGAGCGTTGGATGCAGGCGAGGTGCTGGCTGCTGCTGCTGTTGTTGTCGTCGTGGAAGCAGCATCGGCGTTGGTGGCGTTGGTGGTGGTGGTGGTGGCGCCAAACGAGGAAAACTGGTACTCTGCATCCGGGGATGGGGACATGCCCATATTGGACGACGTCGGCGACGCTACAGAGATGCAGAGAGCAGGGTTCATTTGGGGGTGGGGGAGGGGTGGGGTGAGTGAGTGAGAGTAAGTGAGAGTAAGTGAGAGAGAGAGTGTGTGTGTGTGTGAGGGAGAGAGAGAGTGTGTGTGTGCGTGTGTGTGTGTGTGTGTGTGTGTGTGTGAGAGAGAGAGAGAGAGTGTGTGTGTGTGTGTGTGTGTGAGTGAGTGAGTGAGTGAGTGAGTGAGTGAGTGAGTGAGTGAGTGAGTGAGTGAGTGAGTGAGTGAGTGAGTGTGTGTGTGTGTGTGTGAGTTAAGTACCTGGCATGTCCTCTGGTCGAATGAGCTACAAATTGCAACGTGAACAAGAACCAAAGCAATCAGATGATGAGTTGACACGCGCGGAGGAACGAGAGGGGTGACACAATCATGTCATGTATCGACACATGCACACATGACACAGACACAGACACATACACAGACACACACATACATACACACGGATCAGCCAGGCGAGCATGGTTCATGTGGAGGTTCACAGCACCGGGTCTGGGTAGAGCTGGGTGAGGGCAGGGAACGAGGGGGTGTGGCCGCGGCTGGCGTCTGTATGGTACTTGCCCATGTACACCTCGCTCAGCGTCGCTACAAACACGCAGAGGTGGAATTGGTGAACGAATGTGAGCACTTGTGTAAATTGACTTTGTCTCATGTTTGGGCATATCAGCGCAGCACTTGAAACACACCCACACCCACACAGACACCCGCACACACAGACACCCGCACACACAGACACCCGCACACCCACCCACACCCACCCACCCACACACACACACACACACACACACACACACACACACACACACACACACCTACCGCTGGCGCCGTCGGCCTTGTAGTTTGGGATGGCGTGGTCCATGTGCACATACACGGACTGGTTCTCCAGACGCAGCTGCCCCGATTGCAGCGCACACATCTTCGCAGCCTTGGTCGTGGCAAACGTAACCGTTGCAAACCCGGTCGGCTCGCGTGTGAAGAGGCGCGTGAACACCTGCAATCACAAGCAAGCACACACATGCACACATATAGAGTCGACACGAGGGTTTATGAGACGAACACGGTGTTACAATGTATGGAGGGCCACGGCATCCCACCGCCACCACCAGCAGCGCCAGCAGCACGAACAGCAGCAGCAGCAACAGGATCACGGACCTCAACGGTTGCCACTGGACCGAACTGGGCCATGGTGTCTTTCAGCTGCTCCTCAGTAACGGCTGTGCTGAGGTTGGCGATGAACACCGACCTGCGCGTGTGCGTCGCATGTGTTGTTGTGAACGCATGTGTGTGTGTGTGTGTGTGTGTGTGTGTGTGTGTGTGTGTGTGTGTGTGTGTG